CGTTCTCAAAAAGTACTATAAACCATATAAATAAGTTACCCGGTCAATTGATTTGCATTAGCCAATCAGACGAATTTTTGCCTTTGAGGTCTTGGCAATTGTTACCGAAATGGAATAGGGATCGAAAAGGATAAAACATGCCGAAACTGGCAGTCTGAATGGACAATGTAATTTTGTACTCCGCCGTGAAAATAGGAATGGCATAGAAAAGATGAATGCAATGTTCAAATATGATTGGTAGATTTCAAGATTATCAAATCCGGTTCTAGCCTTAAAGCCATCATAGAGAACAAGTGTGCAGTACATACCCAATACGTTCATGTCAGAGTCGGTGGATTTTTATAGCATCTAAAATAGGACTAGTGATATTACGACAACAACATAACCAAATACGACTGAAATTGTTTTATTTTTATTCTATAGACATATATAAAACAATTTCAGTCAGATATGGTTATGTGGTTGTCATAATATCACTAGTGTTATTTTAGATGCTATAAAAAATTCTGATCTCGATGAAGTTTGGGATATGCAGTAAGAAAGGGACCTGGTTTGGGTTTTGATTTGGGTTTGGGATCACAATAATGGTCGACACCAAACCCAAATTAGATAAAAAGTCATAATTTGTTCCATATGTGTTCAGCTTACATCTCTACTGCAGTAGCGGGCTATTATAAGACCTTTATTTACAGTAAGTATGAAACAATGAACTTGGTATTACTGGTGTGAAGACAATGATAAATATGCAGAGTTTATAACTTTTGTGAAGACAATAGTAAATATGAATTATATATTGCATATACTTGTACTAGCTACACTAGTATTGGTAGTCCCAGGCCTTCATAATATTTAAAGACTTCCATATAGATATGCCCAGAGCTCTGTTGAGTCTTGATATGTATACATCTCCATGCTTTAGCCTCTTTTTAGTAAGTAATTCTGCATAGTGCCAAAGGTGTTCCAAATCTGGTAAGGCCAATTCTTTACTACAGATCCTTTTGTATTTCCCACTTTTCTCACTACTCCAATTCTAGTTACTGCCTGGTCATCCTTCTAAACAAGATCCTAATGCCGTTTTAGAGTGGTTGGTGCTACCTATACCAATTGAGAATTTATACACACAACTTTTGTGTAATAAAACCTTCTATAACAATTATAGTTATACATTGTGCCAACTTCTTCACAATAGACCTTCTTCTGTAAATTTCTAATTGAGACTTGTACTCACTTGGATTTCTCACAGTGAGTATATTCAAATATTTGTAGAATCCGCATCTACTAGGACTTGAACTCAAAACCCACTTGTGGAGGGTTGTGTGCCTAGACAACTAGGCTGTGAGATCCCGACCCCTTTAATAATTTTATTATTATCATTAATATTATAATAAATTAATAAAAAAAATTAACATGTTTCTGTAAAATAGATATGTATTATATTCTAATTAAATATAGAGAATTTCTATTTGTATACAAAAATATAAAAAGTTAACCAATATCTCAAAAATTTGATTATAAGACCACCTTTTGGCTTTTAACAAAAAAATTTCTTGTAAAATTTTGGTATAAACTAACTCTTAACCCCAGAGTTGGCATTAGACAATATTCAAATAAATTTAATTAGACAATTGGACATTTGGACATGATCTAAATATCCAAATAATTTTTTAGACCTTCAAGTATTAAACAATGTCTAAATAAATTGTAAGATTATTGGACACGTAACCACCAATTGTTCAATCATTTTATTAGACAATTTTAACAATATAATAACAAAAGCTTTATAACTTTTAATTAGAATAATAATGTTTATCAATTATATTTTTATTTTTTATAAAATTTTTTTTTTATATTTTAATTTACAATAATAATTTATTAATAAATATTTCTAATTCAAATTGTTGAACTTGGCTAATTTATTTTATTTGGTGTGTTTCTTTTATAATTGCCATTATTTTAAAATCAAAAATAAAATCAACTGTTGTCATTATTCTTTTTGAAATACAGATCATTTTACAGTTTCTAACATTCCATTTGATTAATAATATTTCACTAGAGCAATACCAAATATATATATTTAAAACAATCTAGTGTGTATATGTAAAATGGTATTTAAGATAATTCAGTAGTGTGAATTCGTGCGCACGCATGCATATTTTATAATAACAATAATTATTATTATTATCAGTATACTTTTTAAATATACTATAAATTAGAGATACTTTATATTGGTGACTATTGGCCCGAATTAAGTTTAATTTAGGCCAATATTAAATTAATTTTTTTTAATGTCCAATAAAAAAGTTACTATGTCCAATCAAATTATTTGGACAATTGGACATTGTCCAAATGTCCAAATTGTCCAAATGTCCAAATTGTCAAATGTCCAAATTGTCCAATGTCCAAATGTCCAATATCGTAACATGCCATCCCTGCTCACCCAACTCTAAACCCATCCTAACCATAAGCAAGGATTAAAATCTTCGTTTGTAAAAATTATTTGTTTGGACTGCCATGTATATACACCCGTGTTTATTTAGTAATTTTCTTAAAGATACAGTCAACTCTGTTTATAACGAACTGACGAATCTTATAGTAAAAATTTTTAAAAGTTTATTATATAGTAATTTACTATATATTATATACCGAACTTATAATAAATTTGAAAAAAAGTTCGTTATATAGTGTGTTCGTTATAAAAAGGTTCGTTATATCCAGAGTCGACTGTATTTATAAAAATTTTTATTTGAATGTTTATACTGTATTTTAATTTAAACATTGTAAATATAAGTTTTTATAAAGATGTTAAAAACAATAGTAATATTTGATATAATAATAAATAATTGATAATAATTATTGTATAAATAAATTTGAATTTTATTTAATGCATTGCTTAAAAAGAATTTTCTAAATTATTTGGTTGAATTATAACACTTTTATATATAAATATTTGATATATATTAAAAATAAAAGCAGTTTCGAAATAAAAACTTTAAAAGATTAAATTCAGAATTTATTAAAAATGCAAATTACATCTAAAAATTATAATATAAGCTTTATAATAGCAACAATTGTTATTATGATCCAATTGTTAATTTTTAAAGTTATAATATTTATTTCTTGAATATCTGTCCTTCTTCTTCTTTGAATATATTAGACTGCCTCACAATCTTTTGTTTTTCCGCAGCAATCATCTAAAAAAAAATTAATTAGCATTTAATATAATAAATAAATATTGATTTCAAGAATCTTTACCTCTATTCTTTTTTTTATAAAGTGATATGCTTCATGTGTATGTTTTATCAAAAGTGATGTAGGAAACATTTCTAAAATTGAGTCTTCATCTATACTATCTGGCCAACAGCAAAGGGATGACTGATTTAAATATTCTGATAAAGGATGATCCTCTCGTATAGTTTCTACTAATAACTGACGGAACGTAAATCGTTTTAATGCATTCATAAATGTTTCAGCTTGAATAAGATTCGCATTAAGTTTAATATCCTTTTCATCAAAAGAACAAGATGCTAATATCTCTTTTTCTATTTCTTTTGTAAGACTAGCTTTGTATTTTACAGTAATACTTTCTATCATAATATCTGCAACTTTTCCTTCAACGATTTCATAAAGCGCAATAACATGTTTGAGTTGCAAACCAGTGTTCAGTACCTTTTCTAGTGCCTTATTTTCAGTGAGAACAGAAAGCTTTACCCAATGTTGAATATAATTTTTAAGTGTTATATTTCCATCACTGCCAGCAGTTCTCTTAATGAAACATAAAAGCAATTCTAAAGCAGACAATAGTTCTGATTCATTGTCTGACAATATTATCTCAGTAATTCCAGCTTTACTGCTAAATTCGGAAGGATAGTTTGATGAAACTCCACCAGTGAGTAATCCCAACATACCTTGTGGAATCGATTCTTGTTTAATCTTTTGTTTAATATCATATAATATAGAAGTGGAACTTTGAAACATTTCCATGCAGTAGAAGAATGGCTCTAGAATAAGTCCACCTGGCTCAGTGGGTTCTAAATAAGTTTTATTTAACACCAAAGTTTTTACAAGTTCTGCTTCAATTTTATAAAGATCATAAATAATCTCCTTGCCTCTACCAACATTAAGGATACGTTGACTATATTCTAATAATTTTGGATTCCATTCGTAATCAATAAAATTTGTTTGTCTAGCATCTTCAAGTCGTACAGATTTGATGAGATACGGATCATTAGTGTCTGACCGTGTCTGACGCTCAATAAATTTCAATGAATGGCATGTTCCAGTTTGGATGTTCATAACGTCGCGTAGGAATCTATTTTGAATATCAACTAAATATTCTAATGCCGCACATAAAAATAGACCTGCATCTTTACCCTCTACAAGACCAAAAACAATCTGGCAATCCAAATTCATCTTGGGTTTATTTGTAGGTAAATCATGACATTGATATCTATCAATAAGTGGCATTACAGCGTTCCAAGATTCTGCAAATTTATCGAATGCAACTTTAAGAGAATGTTGAAGCTCTCCATATTCGACAATAAATTGACGGAATGTCATATTTAACGCATCATTCCGTTTAATACGATAATTAAGACGCATGGAAAGTATACGTGAAAATTTAACCAAGTGATATAGATGTTTAAGAAGTGGTAAAAACTTTTCATATTTGAAGAATATTGAAATAAATGGAAAATTCGTATGATAATTTTCATTATTTGAATAAAATGCGCGAAAGTTAGCAAAGTTTGTATTTCCGATAAGTCTCCATAGTTTAGGTAATCGTCTTGCGCTGTAAGTGTCATCAAATGTCAAAGTTTCATTTATCTCTGCTTCAAAAATAGTGATTTTTTTCTTTCTATCATTTTTTGCTCTCTGGAGTTTATTACGGAAATCTATTGTGGCTGCCGCAGGATTTCTGGCCCGATTATTAACATATCGCATGGTAAATTGATTCTCCCAATTTGTTCGTGCATCTCTAGTTGCTAATACAGAGTTCGAAATTTTATTATCTTTAACGATCGAATGAAGTATATCATGTAATATTAAAGCCAAATCTTCATCATTACAGTTCAATAGAGACTTTAATACGTCCCAATCTTTAGTAATATGATCCAAACAATATGCAATAGGATCAGAAATATTTTTAAGAAATGTCTGTGAATAGGCGGAGACGGAAATAAGTGCATGAATAAAAAGATGTAAGATTCGGTAAGAAGGTGTAGTCATTTCGCGAACGCTTTTGCTTTGTTCTAATGATCCAGTCTCCATTAAATAACCAGTCTTATCACTATTAGCGATGACATTTCGAACTTGATTTGCGTTTAATCTTGTTTGACCTACTGCTGTTACATGATCTTTCCCACCAATTGTTGCACCACATTTTGGGCAACTTCGGTTCTGCATGGTTTGGCCACATTCACCAACAACATATTTAAATCCACAACCACATTGGTACCTATATGTATGTTGATAAAGGAGGGTAAGAATCGATAGTAAACATATTTCACTAAAGTTGTGACTTACCAGGCGAATTCATTGAGTGCACCCATTAATATTGCATCTTCATCAGATGAACAAGTTAATATATATGTATTTTGAACATCTTGAAGTCTGTGAAGGTATTGTGTTAATGGTGAATGATCAGATGGAAGTGATGCATGAACTGCGAGTATGTGAATGATAACCAAACGAATTAATAAATTTTTATTATCAATATTTGTCTGAATTTGAAGCATAGGATGATCATTATCTAAAAGCCTTGTCATGAGCTGTTTATAAACTGGTGATAAATTAATCGTATCCAAAAATACTCTTAAATTAGTAATCACTTCATTTTCATTTTCATTCAAGCTGCGCATTGCGTGAACTGAATATAAACGATCCACAATAACCCCAACAAAGGTAATGCGCAAATTAACGCAATTAGCTGATGAAAGCTTCTTCAAAACGCTATTTAACTGAGCTCCGTTCAAAGAATCGTCTGCATTATCATATTCATCAAGCAAAAAGTAAGGATTAAAGGGTAGTCGGGAATCATTATCTTTATTCCATGGTAAATCAGAAAGCCATGGTAAATTTTTTTGCTGAATATTACAGAATTGTTTAAGGTCATTCATTGAGAAACCACGAATTCGTAATCTCTTGAGAAAATAGTATTTGAGTGATTGGACTTGTGGATGTCGACTTTGCATCAATCCATTCAGCTCGACCATGAATTTGTTTGAATCTATGGAATTAAAATTCATCGACTCAATCAAAGCATTGCTTATGGTTAATGATGACCAAAAACTATTTACAAACTGCTTTAATAAAGCTATAGCACAAACAAGCTGTAATGGTTTAACATTTTTAGAACACAAAACTCGTAAAGCATCATGGAATAACCCTTTAAGTCTATCAAACTCCACATTTGCGAAAAATTCTTTTTGAATAACATCACAGCATAGTGCCGCTAGTTGTGAATCACACGAATTCTTTTCTAATTGTTTATTTATTATATTAAGTCTTGGGGAGAAATGTAATACCTCATTTGCATTCCTGATTATAGCTGAGAATAGGTCTTTTTCCTCAGAACGAAAGATGCAAAGTACTATAAAGGCCGTGAAAGGTAATGGCTGAGCTTTTTCAAACAACTTTTCATAAAAGTGCAAACGAGTAGGCGATTCAAGAGGAATAATATCTAAAATACTTAGCACAAAATTTTGTCTTGCAATGGTATTCGGATATGTATTTTTTGAGTCAAAAAATTTAAAAATATGATCAATGAACTTGGTATCCGAAAGACCATTATTACGTCCAATGTCAACAACTGTCAAGAGACTATCATAAGGAATTACTTGTTTTGAAACGAGATCGTTGCATACATTTAGAAGTTGGTGAGAAGGAGATAAAGAACCCGTTGAGAGCTCTGAACAAAGTAGCAGTATTTTGGAGGCCTCAAGCTGCCACTGCTCCAATTGTTTTTTATTATTTATCATGTAGATACTATCCAATGTCAACTGAGCGGCTATATCTAGTAGATCTTTTTCAAAGTTCTCGAAACCGTCATTTATATCTTTAGCTAATTCATCAGTGATTGAAGGACAAAGTTTAACTAACTGTAACTCAGCTAACACAATATCAGATTTTGCCCACCAATATGTGTGAAGTCTGATAGGATTTAGGATTAACTTTTTACCCAAACGTCTAAGTAGTAGAAGGTTGATAAGTTTAATGTTTTCGTGGCCTCCATGATTAGAAGAGATGAAGGTAAGAAAATCTTTGTAATATAAGTCAGGAGCTATTTGAGAGGGCGCATCTTTTAATGCAGGAATTTTTGATAAAATGTTCTGGAATCTTTCAAAACAATCGGCAAGTACATTATCTAATAGATCACCAGTATAATAGTCGATATTATTTTTGTCTTCTTTAAGTATTTTAATGTCTTCTAAATAAAGCTTTTCGTAAAGATTAATTTGCTTGATAATATAATAAGAGAAGGGAAATTCCATGGTGTATGGACCGCTTGCCATGGGATAACAGTCAGGTTTCGGATCCATCAAGTATTCAATATCGATAACATTATTATTGTCAAACATCTGATACCAAAATTCGATAAGGTAGTTATCACCGTTTTTACATTCGAGATTTAGTAAAGTTTTGAGAGTAGAAAGTCTTTCAAGTACACATAATAATTTAGCGATATGTTTTCTCACAGTGATTCGTATATATGCTTGAAGAGCGGCGCAGAAGGATGAATGTAAATAAAGTACTCGCTTGTCAGTGGCAACCTTTAATTGCCAATTTGCTGAAGCGTTCTCATCTAACCATTTCAATGTTTTTTGTTTCATCACTTTTACAAATCGCAGATGTTTGGGAATTTCATTGACAAGGTATCTGAAGGAAAATATATATTAAAACTGATATAAAGAATTCAAAATACAGAAATATACAGAAATATACAGAAATAGATTAGAATTACTCACTTGATATGTTCTACAGAATCCATTGTCAATGGATACTTAATACACAAAAGACTCCATAGTAGCTCTTGCTCTAAAATTTCTTCAAATGGTAAAACCGAATTCATGACATTTATAATTTTTCCACCCAGAAATATTGGCAAGTCCTTCTCTTCTGGTGTCAGAGTTCCAACAGTAATCTGATTCCATCCACACATAAAGTCAAAATAAGACGTAGTTTTCTGTTCACGATGAATATGGAGAATGATGCAAACATGTTTTACTGGTACATCAATATCACTCTTTCGTTTTTTCTCCAAGTATTTTGCTCTTATTTGTTCAATAATGAATTTTGCTAACTTGATGCAACTGGAATTTATCATTGATTGATCACATTGTAAAACTAAAAGTTCATCACTACTATCCAGCCAAAAGCGTTTTATCCGATCTTGGAGTTGAGCTTCTGTTTTAAATGTCGAAAGTTTATCTACTTGACAATTTATCTCTAATGTATCTAAGCAAGCCTTAACATCAGCGTTAATATTTGAAAATGTGTTTACTATTATTAATTGTGCCTCTTTATTCTTTCGATTTTTTTTATCACCAAGTAATATCCTTAAACATGACTCAATATCATCATGTAATCCACTATTAAAATAGGAATTACACAATTCATTGACTTCTTGGGGTTTCTGCATGAATAAGAGAGATTTCTTTGCGCGCACAATACCATCTGATGAAGCAATAGTTATTAATCTCTCCTTGCATCTCTTTAATGTTAACTCGTCATCTCCATCTTTTTCCTCCATTTTGCACTGATCAAATACTAAACTCTGAATAGTTTCTTCTTTGTTAAATCCTATAAAAATATCTTTTTCGGTGAATTCATTTGGCGCAACCCCTTGTACTGTTGATATCTGACGAACCCATTTAAACAAAGCATTACAAAGTTCATTGTGATGTTCAGAAAGTATATCATTAATGGTTAATCGTTGTTTCTCAAATCGATTGAGCAGAGGTGGATCAGTGTATTCGAGTTTATTTTCGTCCATTACTAGAATACATTTAAAGTCTGGATGTACATATAACATTGGGTTGGAATAAGCACCAAGTGCAACTCTTGTAAAATACTTTATATCTTCACGATTGCCGAGAGTGATGTAATTCTGATTCCATAAATCATAAAGACTTCCTATAAAAATATTTAGGGTAGTTAAATATTTGTCAATAAAAAACTAATAAAAGAATATATATCGGTACCATAGATGATGTCTAAATCTGTGAGAATCAAAGGTCTTCCGGCTTCAACACACATCTGAGAAAGATAAAAACTGATCATTAGCATGTGATATTTTAAGATAGGATTAATTTATCAAATATTTACCATTATCCTGCTTAAAACAGCATACAAATAGTCACCATCGCCGTCATCGGGAAATTGTGAGCCACAAAGCACAACAGGGTCTAACTGTTGATTTCGTACATGATAGGTTAGGATGTTAACTAAAGAGTCACTTTTTCCAATGACCATTAAATGTCGTGTGTCTTTTCGATTAAGGTTTTCGTTTATGAGCCGTTCTACAGGAATTGGTGTATAATTATAGTTCTTATTGCTACTGAAAGAATTTAGTACCTTGCCGAAATATTTTTCGCATATTAATTTGGTCTGATCAGTTCCTCCAAAATTTCTTATCAACCCTAGTTCCAATGTACTCACTAAATTGTGAATATATAATATTAACATCTTAACGTACGTGAATAAGATTGTAAACTTTAAGTGATAATTGATACGAAAAAAATCTCACTTGTCAGCTCAGAGCCACTCAGGCTTTTCACCAATGCATAGTAATCGCGAAGCCCTAGTTATCAATTTTATAGATTAATACTTTTTCAGATTGTGTCAGCAAGACCGAAATGTGTGATAGGTTACGACTAATTGATTAACATTGTCCATATTAAATAGATTTTTTTTTATGTTAGGGTTAGATAAGAAAAAATTAAAAGGAGGATTTAGACTAAGCCTATGCCAAAATTATGAATAGCATTTTTCCTTAGATCACCAAGTGTAACTTCACAAGCAAAATTTTGAAGTAAAATTTTTTTCTAAATTTTGTCGATCAACCTATCACGTATTCTGGACATGCATAGTGTCATAAGATGAAACCTACCGTGAAAGTTTTTATACTTTTGATTCTTTTCATAATCAAGGTAGGCATCAGCAAGTTGCCTGAGTTTGGAATCTGCGATTCCATTTTTAGTTTTGTCATCCAAAAGCATGGAAGCTGTTAAGATAAGGTCCTCAACGCCAAATTTTGGTCGTTGCACAAGTAATGCTCTGCTTGATTTACTATTATCCAGACGCCAATTACTAATGCCAACAACTGACACTGCTGGATCATCATTAAATTCTTTTTTACAATCTTTTTTGCTATTATCTGATATTAATGAGTTTTCATTTCTATCATTTTTATTATCTGGCATTAACGATAATGATCCTTCTACTATAGCTTTATCTCCATCGCTATTAATTATTACCATAGAAGCTTCTTCGGAAGTGATTAAATCTTCATTTGAGTTTTCATTAGATTTTTCATTTGATTTTTCATTAGATTTTTCATTAGATTTTTCATTTGATTTTTCATTAGATTTTTCATTTGATTTTTCATTTGATTTTTTGTTTGATTTTTCATTTGAGCTTGCTTTTAAATTTTCTTTAGACTTATCAACAACTGATGCTTCCGAAATTTCTGTAAAGTCTTCCCTAGAAAAACCAGGTTCTAAAAGAGCATGAAGAACTTTTAAGGGATTAAATCGACTAGTTTCTGCTAGACCAACTTCGTCAAGAAGAACTACAGCTTGCACAGGATATGCTTTTGAACTTGTCTTTTGGTAGTTTTTCGCTTTATCGAAAACCTTGACGATACCTGCCGAAGTTGATGACGCTGAACCTTGATGTGGTATAAAGTAGACCTTATAAAAAACCACAAAATTCATCTGTTAAGATGGTAATTGGATATACACCATACTGAAGCAATATATAATTTACCTGTGGTAATGTTTTGAAATATTCGTCTTCAGAATCCGCTCCTCTTAAATTTGAGCTGATGATTCTTACTGCCAAGGATTTTGAACTGTCATTGATAATATTGCAAATAGATGACAGTATAATATGAAAGTTAAAATTTTATTAGATTAATGTCTGTAATTTAAATAAACTACAAACCTTCCAGGAGCACCGATAATAAAAACAGGGATTCGGTTCAGTATGCAAACAATCATCACGAGAATATTCTCTAAAAGTGCTTCATTATCAGCTGTTGATGGAGGTATTACCATTCTTTGCATAAAATCTTCTTGCTCTTTGCGAATTATCATTTGAAAATCTGAAGCAC